GGCTTAATTAGTCAGGACTTTACGCACAACGCACCAAATGGGCCAAGTGCGGACTACGTGTGAAAACTGAGTCACTACATACATAGGGTGGAGGTCGTGTCTCGACTTTAAATCTGAGGGTAAGATTCAGAAACGAAACTTGGCGCTAAGCACGACTCCCAAATGTCAGTGAAAAAATCTGAGGGTCAAACTAATATGCGATGTTCACCTTCATCTTTTGGATATAACGTAATGTTTGGATTAATACAAATCTGAACACTTTACATTGTTCTCAAGAAAAGATTTTCACTTCAGATAAGGTGAGTCGCGTGCTTAATACTTTTAAGCTGGGTAATAGATACATAAAAATCGTATTAATATAGAAATATGTGACAAAATTGATATAACGCTAGTTCCCACACTAGGGACCCCTGTGTTGTGAGTAACTAGATTACAATTGTACATGATGCACGTATAAACCAATTTTTTATCGTCGCGAAAGTTTGAACGCTTTGACGCATAAACTTCTGATTATGATAGTATGATACATACAATATACATACTAAACTACATAGGTTATATTTTTTAAATATTTCAAATCAACATTGCAGTGTCGGGTAAAATCTAGTTTTTACTAGACTGTGATACTATAGATGTTATAGTTTGGACTTGAGTAGAGCTTTCGCCCGAATCTCCACTGGATTCCGGGAGGTATTATCACACAGGCGCGTCTTGTAGAGAATAATAAAATTAAACGAACCCTCGCTGCAGGCAGCTGAGCCGTGGGTCATTCGCCTCTACTTACCAGTTTTGTGTTTACCAATCAATTTTTATACACATTCTTGACGATAGCGCTTTTAAACTGTAATTTACATAATTTCTTAATTTCTTAGACGAAATTCCTTAAACGAAACGGTTTTTAGATGACATCTATTATGGTTACAGTTAGATATCCTTCGTTTAGGTTACTTTTTTAGTACAGTTTAAATATTAACGGTTTAATTTAGTTAACGAAATATTTTCGAATAAGTCAGGTAAAATATCGGTAATCTCCATATTGAGTGATGATAAGTTACTTAAAAATAGTAGAACTGTGTCTTTCGGAAAAAGGGTTACCCGGGAATTGAACCGATTAAAAACTTAAAAAAGTACTTAATACAAGTTCACGTTGTATATTAAGTAAACGTAAACCAAAAACTCTACTCGTAACATATTATTTTTTTAATAAATTAAATCTTTCTAGGTTTGGGTTGCAAAAATTTTTTTTAAACAGTTTTAAATACATAGATGAAGGTAAAGTCAAAATTGTAATTTAATTTAAAAAAATATGTATACCTATATTATATTAACATTAACTTTAAAAAGGGGTTCCCAAATCTTACACATTAAAATGCATTGTCACATTTTCATTTATTGCTTAAAATGAGAAAACAAAGTTTAAAAATGTATCTTGTCGTCGTTTTGATTGATAGATTATTACAAAATTTGCACATAATATATATTATACACATTATTTGAATAGGATAGATTTCTATGTTAATTACGTTCAAGGATGGTTTTTGTACTATAAATGATATTGAATTCTTCACAGTACGATCATCTAACAATTGCTTGAGTGCTTAGTACCTCTTTATTATATTAGGTCCTTACATATGATTGGCGTTTTATATGGGACGAACAAAAAGAAGCTTTTTTTGAAATACAGTATAAACTCCATGTAACGTCTTCTCAATTTAACGACAGACTCCCTAATGCGTCGAAATCACTCGGCTTTGTTTGGTTTAGCTTGTCTTCCATACAATGATACACTCTACATAGCATTACACCCACCCTCAATAACGACAACAGTTAATACTAAACAGTACTTTTTTAAGTTGCCGAAATTAGTTAAAACTGCGGAGCTGTGTACGTTGTTTTGTCGCTTAATTGGCCTAGCGAGAAATAAACTCGACTGTCGGTACTCGTCATACGTACCGAACTATCCAAGGAATCGTTCTTTTTGTTTACAAATTCCACTTGCTTGCTTGAGCTTTATCACGAAGATGCCTCAATATCGCAAGATATGAATTAAATAAGTAAAAAATACAACCTAACCTGTACTGTACAAAAACTACAGACAACGCAATAGCGTTCAAACGAATGGTTTTTATGTAATTTCTAACACTAGTCTGAAATAAACTTTCTTTTTCTAATACAGATTTTTCTTTCCATTTAACGGCAACTCTTTGTAACGTCAAAATAGGCACAGTACCTTGAATGTCGTTATATAGAGTATATATTGTAAATTTAATTAATCAAAATATGCACCATTGTTATCTATATATTATCCTATCTTATAGGTAGTTCATTGATCGCTTTACTAAAAAAACATTCGGACGGCAATCAATAAAATCTTTGCAGGCGGTTTAGACTGCCCCATCATAGTTGAATTTTTACCATGCAAGAAGTTATCGAAATTTCGAAATATTATATTTTTATTTATATTAAAATTTCGTCTTAGACATTCCAATTGAAGCTCCTCTAATTTGTTAGCAGTCGTGCAGTGTGTGGTCTAGCGTTGTCGTGAAGCAGCAGTGGTCTAGAGTGTTTAGCAGCTAGCTTTTCCCCCAGTCACACTATCATCGTTATTGGTTAAAACCGTATTAAAATGCGTTCGGTATTTTTTAAGTTTCTCGCGTTCATATAGTCACGGCCGACTTCATTTTGTAATATGGATAATATCAAGATTTGTGAATATTATATTATGCCCATTGCTTGCGTGCATCTACAAGAACATAGGCTACTTTTCGATCTATGGAAAGGGTTGCTATTAGTAAATTTCTTAACGTGATATTTAATAATATCTTTGTTTAAAGGACATACTTAAAATGCCACACCCAATCTAAAGAAGTTCTGATGTTATCTATGGCATCCCTACGTTCTTGCGATGTTGCCAGTATTATAAACCTTTGATCTTTGTTAAACCTTTACTATTCGTATAAACATAGGGTTCAACTTTCTAAATCTCTTGTAAGATCTTGTTTATTTGAATCATTGTGTGGAATGTACTATGTAGTATTTGTAATTCCATAGATAATACCAAAGCTTCGTATTTAATGTAAAACTATTTCGGTACTGTATTAGTACTGGCATGAAACTATTGTAAAAAAAAACAATTTACATACTTTCATAGTAAATAGTAATGCGGAAAATAAATTAACAATAGAATACATCGTAAAAAATGTAAACACGACGACCTCAACCATTCACGACTACAATTAGTATTTTAGATAAAATAAATGTAAATGTCTTTTTGCTTATTACATTAACCTTGTAGCAATAGAGATAAAGCATATCTAAAAATGTTGAAGCGGCCATCCTGTGTGCAATTTACTTGAAGATTCGACCGGAAATTGAATGAATGGTAATGAAGTTAAGGGCATATGTCTGACAGTCGTATTACTAATGGCTTTTTTATCTGTCAGCGGGAATTGTTTGTCAAGTGTCATATAAAAATGATAAATTAAGGAGCGGATTTTTTTTTAATCTTTTTTTTTCTAATTTAATAAGGAATTTCTTGAAAGGCCTCAATATAATTACCGCTTTATTTAATCAGTGAAAACACTAGCCGCCTCCACGGTTGAGATTTAAAAAAAAAACAATAAATATTTGCATTTATTGACTATGCATGACTTTAAAAGAGAATAGATACCATATTATAGCACTCACCTTTCTGTCATGTCTTCGCGTATAGCTTATATATAGAAAACTTATAAAGATATTTTTATCCAACGTATTGAGTTTCGAGTTCATATTCAATGGACTTCGGTGAGACCGAACGTTATCGTAAAATTTAGAGACGTTAAAGCGTTTAGTAGGTATGTCTCCCGTATATCAATAACGCATGGCATTTGGCATACGGGAGTCACGCTTAACGTCAATTCTGAAAGACAATACAAACATAAATATGCTACAAACGAATTCTTAGCTTTAATTACAATTCGATTTAGTTATAGTATTCTTAGAGAGAATCAAAAACATAACCGTATCAGATCGACCAAAGACAAAGTCTGGAATCACCCCTCCCGATTTCAGTTGCATTATTCAATTATAGCATATGATTGTGGAAGATTTTTCAAATTAAATATATTCCCAGGCCGCGAAACCTGTCTAACAGTGTTCTTGTTGCCAATATTACGGCCCTAACGGTTTGCTAATTTATCAGCAGATCGCATTCAAGTTTAAAATCTTAATTTCAAGCATAAAAATCGTATAAAAACGATTTTTTACTGTTTTCGAAACTTTAAAAATTACTAATGAGCTAAAGCTGATCTGGGACATTAAATCTTGATATGCTAACAGTGTTGCGTGTTCAAGGCATTTTATACACCTTAAAATTTAATTAGATTTTTTGTCTCTGGCACTGCCAAAACGGCAACACGATACACCATTATTTGGTCCTGGCTGCAAAGCAACTCGTTATTTATTTTTATTTAGATTTTTACAGTTCACATACAAAGATTCATTGGAATCGCATCGGGGGAAGAAGCAATCGTTAAACTCCTATAAGTATTATTATTATTAAGCCTTTATTGCTCAAACCCAGTACAATTTATTAACACATATTTAAGTTACATATAACCTTACTTATCTGCGTGTCCTGTGACACATAGGCCTCTTCCAGCTGCTTTCATTATTTTCTGATGTTAGCTCTTCTTGTTTAAGTTGTGCCTCCTATTCTCTTTTTATCGTCTGCCCATTTCTTGCCCTGACTTTCTCTTTTCCTCTTTCCATCGTGAGGTTGCCTTCTGTGATAATTTTTTCTTCGATATATATATATATATAAGTGCCAAAAAGTTAAATTAATAAATCGATTATAAAGTATTTGTTATTCTGTTAAAAAAAATGTTATCTATTGTAAAGTTATATCAAAATTAGCTTATTAAACTTGAATGGAATCCTCGGTTAAGCTTTAAAATTTTGCATACGTACGCTACACGCTCCATTACTGTAGCGTTGTACCAAAATTTGTGCCAGTTAACATGTTTTTAGCTTTGATACCTATAAACCTTGACATCTACTTTGAAATAGGGCATAACCGTGCGTGTGTATCCGTACTTACATTTAAGTACACCTGCACATCATCAGCTGTCTGATGCCACTTAATATTCCCGCAAAATTCAAATGTTATCTTTTTAAAATTCACTATAGCTAGGTGCACGATCAGCGGACGTGAGCTGGTTTCATTTCTTTTACTTTTGCCGGTGTGTTTAAAGTATAACTGATAATATGATTTGATACTGTTGTCTAAATTCAGTCAGTTCAACAGTACATTTGAAAAAAAAACCAGGACAAGTTATTCAGTACTTCTATAAGACTACAAAATTTCGATTTTTGGACAAAATTTGGAACTTATACAACAAAAAACTATATAATTTAGACGAATTTTATATCAGATAAAATATAATCGACCCCGCTTTAGTCTGGACTAATAGCCACAATAGAATGTCAGATTAAGAAATATGCGATTAGAGCATTCGTCACTGTTATCTTCAGGTCTGTGATCGACCTGGCTTTGCACCAATTGTTCTTTCTGTGAACTAAGATCAGTAGTTAATGAAATCCTTGTTGAGAAATCCTTTACAATTTATCCGTAAAGTAGTTTTAAAAGTGTGTTAAACGTAGAATTAATTCAACGCATAAGTGCGGGGTTAATACTCCAACCCTCAAAGTTCATTGACAGAGAACTAGAATAGATTTTTCACGTTAGAATACCTAAAGTAAAGCACTAATCGCCAATGCAGAAAGCTTGTCGTGTTTGCGTCGTACCTAAGATGCATTTATCTTGATAAACTCAAACGTTATACGTGTAGCACATTCCAAGTGTGCAATTAAGGGGCAGGCAGCCTATTTTTAGCTGGTCGGGAGCGCTTTTTTTCTTTGATAAAAAAGCAGACGCTCGAACGCCGGCCTCCATAGAATATAGCGCATGCAAAAAACGTACAATTTTAACGCCCATGCAAGTGTGCTGAATTATTAGATTCGGGGTATTTCTTGAATTACAATTACCTTTTTTTGAGTCTATACTTTAAAGTATCACTGATAAGATTCCTTCCTAACGATTTTAAGGCGGCAAAGTTGTATAATTTTTGGGACATTATTAGGCTAAAATTTGACATCCCAATTTACTTTTTTTAATATCATAAAAATCCACGACCTTTGTTTATCCTAAACATTTTTAGATAGTCCATTCACTTTGATAAATTAGCTACGTATAACTAATTAGTCAAAAGCAATATAAAACTAGCAAACTTAGGATAGTTTTGAGACAAACGATTGGTACATATAAATTATAAACAATATATTACACCGCTAATGATCAGCTGATATGTGAAGTTATGAGTTCATGAGTGGTGAATGACCCCGTGTAAGATGAACTCAACCTGTGCACAGCCTATAAATATGATAAAATTCTTTTTCAAATTTCTTTTGAAAGTACCTAAACATTAAGCTCCTATTTTCAAATTTAATAATGTAAAAACATGTTAATAAATGCCACATTTATTCCAAAAATATAAATAACTAGTATTGTAGAAACTTAAGAGATTCTTGGCTATGCGGGTGTGTGACGGCGTCCATATCCGGTTCGATCCTCTCGGAACTCATTTTTTTTTTAATCTGATTGATATTGACGTGGCTGAATAGTCAATCCTCTCACGTTGTACAATATATGTGTTGGAGATTAGAAGATAATTTACATCGAAATCCTGGAGCTTATAGTTGCTAAGTAGGGCTCTCATGTATTATATCAAATATGTATTAGATTTTGACTACTTCGAATATAACATTTTTACCACCACTTTAACCTTTCTAAAATGGCTAGGCCTATGTAGTATACATAATGTTTAATATTATCGGGAAACTCCGTCACTATGGCATAAAAAATACCGCACTGAATCTTCTGACTTCTACTTCTACTTACACGGTAGAATTCAGAAGGTTGAAGTGACTGGTAAGAGGTCCTCTGGGTCGGCTGTAGATATAGGGGTACCACAGGGTTCAATTCTTGGCCCTTTCCTCTTTCTTGTTTATATAAATGATCTACCTTTCGTGGTAGAGAAAAAACATCAGATAGTTTTGTTTGCTGATGATACGTCCTTGATTTTTAAAATCAAACGACAAATAATAAAGTTTGACGATGTGAACAATGCTCTCTTTCGATTGTCCATTCGTTTAGTATAAATAACCGTCTACTTAATGCAAAAAAAACAAAATGCATTAAATTTTGTGCAAAAAATGCAAGGGTTATGGGATACTAGACCAATAAATGATGGGAATTGAATTTAGATGATACAACTGTATTTCTTGGAATCACCGTGGATTCAAAACTTCAGTGGTCCCCTCATATTAACGGATTGACGAAGAGACTTAGTTCTGCAGCTTTAACGCGGTTAAAAAAATTCGCTCACTACCTGATGTCGATACAGCTAGACTTGTTTATTTTAGTTACTTTCACAGCTTAATGACTTATGGCTTATTATTATGGGGGTCATGCTGCTGATGTCGAAACTATTTTCATCCTGCAGAAGAGGGCTATTTGTGCAATCTATAATTTAAAATGTAGGGAATCTCTGTGAGATAAATTCAAGGTAATTAATATACTCACCTTTCCCTCGCAACATATTTATGAAAATATTATTATGTATCGTATACAAAAATAGTGATAAGTTTACTAGAATAGAGCATACGCACAATGTTAATACTCGGAACAAACGCAGGCTGCAATTTCCCCGTACTAGACTATCTAAAGTTAGTAATTATTTTTTTGGGAAAAGGGATACTTTTCTTTAATAAAACCCCAAAAGCTCTTTTATCTCTGCCTTTTAATAAATTTAAGAAATGTATAAAATATTGTAAAAATGCTTACTATACAGTTAACGATTATCTAGTTGATAAAAGGGCCTGGAACTAGTGCTAGACAGACTACTCCTAATTAATTTGCGATATTTGTTTTAAAATAAGTGTTGTTTGTAAGAGTACCGAGAGTTTTTTACGCCGGCTTTTTCTCTCGGCCTACTTACTCTCTCTGTCTTCTTTGCCGATGAGTAGGGATGTCTACCGATTCAAATTTAATGACGTGGAATAAGTGTAAAAATATGTTTTAAATATTCTGTAGTAAACATATTTTATTTTATTAAAACATTGAATTGTTCACATAAGAAACTTAAATCACAGGTTTTAGGGAGAAATTACTAGGAAATTTTAGCGAAACACTGTAAGTAAATTCGTAAAACATAATGTAAAACTGAAATTGAATTCAGATAAAATCAGATAAATCAGATAGTTTTGTTTGCTGATGATACGTCCTTGATTTTTAAAATCAAACGACAAATAATAAAGTTTGACGATGTGAACAATGCTCTCTCTTCGATTGTCCATTCGTTTAGTATAAATAACCGTCTACTTAATGCAAAAAAAACAAAATGCATTAAATTTTGTGCAAAAAATGCAAGGGTTATGGGATACTAGACCAATAAATGACGAGGAATTGAATTTAGATGATGCAACTGTATTTCTTGGAATCACCGTGGATTCAAAACTTCAGTGGTCCCCTCATATTAACGGATTGACGAAGAGACTTAGTTCTGCAGCTTTAACGCGGTTAAAAAAATTCGCTCACTACCTGATGTCGATACAGCTAGACTTGTTTATTTTAGTTACTTTCACAGCTTAATGACTTATGGCTTATTATTATGGGGGTCATGCTGCTGATGTAGAAACTATTTTCATCCTGCAGAAGAGGGCTATTCGTGCAATCTATAATTTAAAATGTAGGGAATCTCTTAGAGACAAATTCAAGGAAATTAATATACTTACCTTTCCCTCGCAATATATTTATGAAAATATTATGTATGTATACAAAAATAGTGATAAGTTTACTAGAATAGCATACGCACAATGTTAATACTCGGAACAAACGCAGGCTGCAATTTCCCCGTACTAGACTATCTAAAGTTAGTAATTATTTTTTGGGAAAAGGGATACTTTTTTTTAATAAAAGCTCTTTTATCTCTGCCTTTTAATAAATTTAAGAAATGTATAAAATATTGTAAAAAGGCTTACTATACAGTTAACGATTATCTAGTTGATAAAAGGGCCTGGAACTAGTGCTAGACAGACTACTCCTAATTAATTTGCGATATTTGTTTTAAAATAAGTGTTGTTTAAGAGTACCGAGAGTTTTTTCGCCGGCTTTTTCTCTCGGCCTACTTACTCTCTCTGTCTTCTTTGCCGATGAGTAGGGATGTCTACCGATTCAAATTTAATGACGTGGAATAAGTGTAAAAATATGTTTTAAATATTCTGTAGTAAACATATTTTATTTATTAAAACATTGAATTGTTCACATAAGAAACTTAAATCATAGGTTTTAGGAATAAATTACTAGGAAATTTTAGCGAAACACTGTAAGTAAATTCGTAAAACATAATGTAAAACTGAAATTGAAATTTCAAATAATTTTCGAATAGGGGGCTTGGCGAATTTTCGAATATATTCGAAAAACAATCAAATTGCCCCCTGAGGGGCGTGGGCCTCACGTTTGGATAGACTGCTCTCGTTTCGTGCGAGCGTACTTTTTTCTACTAACGTATAAGTTTAGTCTTAAGTTATCCTATACTTTAGTATCATCTTATCTAGTTAAAAATATTCATTGTACAGTTTCCAGAACCAGCAGTTCATTCTGAAGATAAAAAGGACAAAGACATTGAAGATAACGATAGGTACGTGCTTTATAGTTTCACTTGATCTGATTTCGTTTACATATTAGGATAAGATCATTAAGTAGGCGTTTTGCGTAGAAACGGAACCTAAAATTTAGAGCGTTCTATAGGGATGCCATACTAACATAAATGTCCATGTACAAAGAATTTGAATAAAGGAAGGTTATATGTTTCTACAAGACATTAAAGCTTTCTGCGCAAAAGAATATCTTCTGTAGATATAAATATAATGACCTTAAATTTTCAGGCTCGATGTGAAGACAACACCAACACCTGGTGCTTTACCGAACGCTGAATTATCGAAAGCAGCCCGAGGACTACTGATAAAGTTGTTGGAAGTAAACCCTCAATATCGCCTCAAGTCATTACGGCAGCTCCAGCAGACGGCTTTTTTTATGGGATTCAACTTTGATGATATAAATATAAAAAAGGTAAAAAAGACGCCTATTGAAAAATGTCATGCAATACAGTTTTCCACCATAGATTTCTTAGATACAAGCTTTTTTGGTTTGGTTTAATAAGCGGGAAAGTTAGCAAAATTTTCGTTTAAACGTTCGAAAGGTTTTCCCAGGTATTGACATATAAAAGTCCGTACATTTTGTAAGGTAAATTAATGTGTATTCTAAAAATACAGATAAGTGCAAAAAATATTAATATGTAAAAAAAATAGCATAACCTAATAATATATCCCGTAACAAATATAAAATATTTATTTACAGATTTCTCCAAAAACCATGCTACAGCAGTATGGAGAGCAAAATGCATTTCCCGAAAAAGCCGAAGATGTGCCATTTACTAATTTTAATCAAAATCTTCATATAACTGAATAATTAAGTTTTATTTCATTATAAATGTTCTATAACGTAAATTATTTTTATTTTACATTACCCCAATTTGCCCACATACAAAAGAGAATAGCTGCAGTGTAGTGGCCAGAGATACAAGTGCAACTGCACTCTCTATTCCTTATCTTTTATATTACAACGACAGAGGCAGCACGTTTTGCGTGCTAAACCGAAGCACGGGATTGTACAAACACCACTAACTAAAATTATGTTATTTTAGGTAATAAGAAATGGGTTTCCTCAGTTTACTTTACTTTTACAGAACTCTCACTAAAGAGCAATAGTTCGGTGGTGATTTTAAGCGTGTTCATAAATAATAAAACCACTTGGATATAATGATGAAATGTTTAGATTTTCTCTATTAGCTTTTCAATAATGCAATATTAAGCTCTTGCTGCTTTTTGAACAAAATAATATTTAAATTAAATATAAATACTTATTCGCTATGCAAGCTTACAGTAATATTGACAACTGACAATAACAAGTAGTTAAATCGATTGACGTTAAGCATAGATGAAAGAAGTCAGTTGTCATTTCTTGTTAAACTGAAAAATCTAAAGATTGTGATTGTCGCATTTGGGTATTCAGACGTTTCTATTTTCGATTAAAATTGAAATAATGGCTACTTATATACAACGGGCTGCTGTTTCATACTTTAGAAATAACGCACGCCTTGCTTCTCACGCTGCTACAGCTGGTGGACATGGAGGTAAGTTTATTTATTTATTGTAAGAATTATGTAACGATCTAACCTAGGTTTTCCTTATCTACATAAGCTATTCTTTATTGTATAGGTGGCTGGAAGTTCTGGAGAGGCATTTCCTTTTTCGTCGGCTTCCCTGCTGTTGCTTTGGGAATGCTGAACGCTTACCTCGCTCATCAAGAAGAGCACCATGAAAGACCCCCATTCGTCGCGTATGAATACATGCGTATTCGTTCTAAGGTAAGCAAATTTAATTTCAAAAATCTTCTTTATTTATTTTTAAAAAGAAGAATCTTGAAGCTTAAGTAGTTTTATTTTATATGAAAAATATCAGTCAACTCTAATTGAACTTACTATTGTTATAGTGACATAAAATTTGTTGTTATTCTACATTATCCCTTCAATGCATTTAATCTTCCTAGTGGGTGAGGCTTGATTTAAAGTCAATATAAAAATAGATATAGATAAAATTAATGTTTGTTTGTTAGTTATGTTTTTCCTCTTATTCACTCTAATCTGTAAATAACTAATGTTTTGTTCTAATGATTCTTTTCTCTTGAAAAGATTTGCAAAAAAAAAGAAATACAAAATGTTTAGTATTTTTTTAGTCTAAATAAAATGAATAAATATTTTTATAGTATGATGGTTCATCCGTTTTCTCTTTTATAGTAGAGTTAAATTTGATTTTCAAACTGAAACATAATGATAATAATAGTATTTCTATATTTCAGCGTTTCCCATGGGGTGACGGCCAAAAGTCCCTTTTCCACAACCCCCATGTCAACCCACTGCCATCAGGTTATGAAGATGAACATTAACTATACTATTAAACTAGCAAAACTGTATTAGTATATATATATATATAATAACATACCATTATGTTTTTATTGTTACCTGAGGTGGTGATTAGTCAAACATTTGAACTGAATATAAATTTAAACTATTTGTTGTTTTTATTAATAGAATGATTATGTCGCAGCCAACTAGCTTAATTAGTCATTCAATTTACAGCGTACATTACTTGCCAATCCTGTTCATTTCAATTTAGGTCCATTTTCTGCCACCTACTCCAAACTGTCAGAAAGTGTCGGCAAAGAACAAATTTCATGTTTTCCAAAGTTAAAATAAAATATGGACGAGCCTAGTGACACTAAGAGTAAGCGTAAGAACACTAATAAGATACATTAAATAATAAAGAATTTATTTTTGTTTGCATTGTAATTGCATTGCACATACCTTAAATATTATCAATAAATACATTATTACAAATTCACAACAAAATATACACAATGGAATATAATTTAATTATATCAAGCTTATTTTAAAAACAAACCTATACTGTTATTACTTAATAACACTAAGTAAATAAATACTTATTTAGCCAACTACCACAATTATAAAGGGTCTTTCATTAAGGGCTTCCTATCTTCAAATTTAAATAAAACAAAATTTGTGTTAGATATCATCAACAATTTTTATTCATTTGAAAGGCCTATCGATGCCATTATGTGTGGAATATAACATCGTTCAAAAGTCCGCCCCGGCTTCTCTGGGTGGCGCGCATCCGAAATGTCCAATTTTCCATGACGCTGGTGCATAAATCAGGCTGAATTTGACCGATGGCATGGGTTATGTTGGCTTTGAGGGCCGCTGTGGTTTGTGGCTTATTCGCATAGACTTGCGACTTAAGAAAACCCCACAATAAATAGTCTAATGGGGTCAAATCGCACGATCTCAGTGGCCAGTTCACATCATCTCCACGTGAGATGACCATGCCATCGAACCGCTCATGCAGAATGTCCAATGTGGCATGAGCTGTGTGGCACGTAGCGCCGTCCTGTTGAAACCACATCTCGTTGGTGTCCATATCATCCAATTCAGGCCAAAAGAAGTTGGTAATCATCGACCTATAGCGCTCTCCGTTTACGGTGATGGCCTGTTCAACGTCGTTTTCAAAGAAATATGGACCGATGATGCCGCCAGCCCAAAATCCACACCAAACAGTGACTTTTTCGGGATGCATTGGACGCTCTTGGATCTCATGTGGATTTGTATCGGCCCAAATTCGACAATTTTGTTTGTTCACGTACCCATTCATCCAGAAATGGGCCTCATCGCTGAAGATGATTTTTCGATGAAAATTAGGGTTTGTCTATGGTCGTTTACCTTCAGCTCCTGGGTCAGTTGAATTTTGTACGGGTGCAGGCCCAAGTCACGATGCAAAATTCGCCAAGTTGTGGTCTGTCAAAGGCCGAGTTCTTGTGAGCGACGCGAAATCGACTGCCTCGGATTCTCCTGCATGCTCTCACGGACAGCGGAGATGTATTCGGTAGATCTTGCGTTTCGTCGACGTACGGGTGTTGGTTGATCGTTTACTGAACCAGAGGACTCAAATTTATCCATCACACTGCGAATAGTCCTCTCGGTAGGACGATTATGGCGCCCGTAAAATGGGCGAAGAGCGCGGAACGTTGCCCGAACAGAACACCCATTTTGATAAAACAATTTTATCATTTGCACGTGTTGTTGAACGCTATATCCATCCATGGTGATTTGGCAAAACAGACTGAATAAATGACAGCCAATTTGACAGATGTAGCTTCAACAAGATGGCCGCTATCAACTGTAAAAGTTCGGAAGTCCCTATTGAAAGACCCTTTACATTAACAAAAGATAATATGGTAAAAAACAATAGGATAAAATACAAATAACACTTATATTTAAGTTCATAAATTTAAGACAAAAATTATTTATAAATTACCTTATATATTAAAGTAATCTTTATATATGTATATATAAATCTACTGTGCGTGTGTTTGTAAACTGCTAAACGCCGCAATTTTAATGAATTTTTGACGTGTTTGACAATGGTTATATTTACAATAACATTATTTTTTTGTATTTAAGACATCCTGTACAACTATGTGACTGAATATGACTGGTTAGCTCATATATTAATAATTTATATGGAATATAATTATTCATTATACTATCTTGAAGAATGTCTGAAATATTCTCCAATAAGTAGTTTATATGTATGTGAGTTCTTCACCATTTGGGTCGTCTTTTAAAGACACGCCGAGTTCTCACCAAGCGTCGATCCTGCAACCGCTATAACATCAGGACATCCTTCATTGCATCAACTGGGTTCACAAATTTAGTTGACCCAATCAAAACATTATTATCAATACCACTCGTGATCACACTACGGTGGAGCTGCTTGCACTCATCTGCAGTAATACCTCCAATGACAAAGATTATTACTGTCTGATTGTCCATTGGGTGCTTGATTTTTGATTTCTTGCTGGTTAAGATGCTGAAAAGGAATAATTGTTTTTGTATTAAGTATTATATCTTAGAAATAGCTTGGTTGGTTCAAAGGCTAACAGAAGAATCAAGGTTTGATTATCAGATTTTTTATTAAAATATCTTTTAGTGCGATAGCAGTTAGCCAATCATGTATTACATACCGTAACCCCATAAGGCAGACACGTCAATGCGTTTCACTTATTATTATTTAAGCAGTTGATAAACCTACACAAGTAGATTTTTCCTACTCCTTGATAAAGTAAAAGAGTGTTACGTACATAGAAATTGAAAACTACTAGTGTCTAATTGATTACGGGACACAACTTTAAGTCTGGCTATAAACACTAAGGCCCTAACTTCAATATAGTTTAAAGAGATGTCAAAGCACTTATGTCGAGATTGACTTGAGATACGAATTATTGACTGCCGCTTGAAGGAACAAAGTAAAATTATATAAGCCTACAGTTAGTCTGCAAAGACAAATTATAAATCAGATATTAATTGCATGCTCGGATTTAGAAATATAACTTGTTTATTAAACACTCACTTAAGTCCAGTACGTAGAAGGTCCTTGATGCCCTCATTCCTATGACGCAGATCAGGAATATCTGGTCGCTCAGTACTAACTAAATCATCAACCAGCTGTTGGAGAACCCCGCGGTATTCATGTCCAATGCCACTCTCGCATGGCTTAAGCACTGAGTTGTATCTATTACAGTTAAAAATAAAGTTAGCAATAGACAAACGCATACATATTTGTGTTTATAATTTATAAATAATAACAACAAGTAAGCGCTCAGTTTATACCTAGTATCCATACCAGAGTCATAGGATATTTTTTTGTCAGTTTGTTGGTTAATGTTATATGTATTTAATATATTGTGAATCATATAAGATCAATTAATACCCCTCATAGGTAATAATACTTTTTGAACTGGTTATAGCTTTATAACTTTTATTAGGTGTTATGATTTCATAGATTATATATATTTAATATTAAATAACACTAACATAGCACGCGTTAGAAGACTTCGGAAAATGCCAATATTTGACAAAAATACAACAATATGCTGCTAGTATACTAAATAATATAAGTTTTAAGATTATAAGTAATAAAATTTTATAATAAAATCCATTCAAAATAAACCTTTGTAAATTCTTCCTCATTTGCGAAACTTGTTTTAACAAATCCATAACATTTGAAGAAATCCGTTCACACTCCTCCGGTGTGACCATATTTCCATCTGAGTTGCTGAATAGGAATTTATGGTCCTCAAACATGGCAACACTGAGGGTTTGATGGAGTTGCTCTTCGTGCTGAGATGTAAATATCACCTCGGTCCCAGCAAGTGAATATACATGAACTAATAGGGCGAGTAGGTTCTTTAAGTGCAGGTTCCGCTCTTTGCGTGTTTTTATTAGGTAGCTTAGCTGAAAAAAAAAATAGAATTTTGACAAAAGACAAAATTTTGTTTTTATATTAACTTCTTTGAGTGTTTGCGATTAAATCTTAATTATTAATAGATAGTGATTCACGAATTAATGATGCCGGGGCAGCTCTCTAGTTCAATCTTCTTCGTAGGGAAATAACATTTTGTTCTAGTTACAAAGTCTAAATAATTCGAGATACAGCGTATTTAGGGGTTCAGCGGTAGGGAATGGCAATTTTTTGCGACTTACTGAGGATTTCGATTTAACGAGGTTCGAGTTATAGCGATTCCACTGTAGTATAAAAAATAAATTAGTTTTAAATAGATAATCAACAATGACGGAGCCGAATGTAGAATTTTGTTTAGTGGTTGAACTCTCAACTCCGAGGTTGTGCACCAAAAGATTTTTCTAAATAATAATAATCTTAATAAACCAATAGCTCGAACATTGTGAGCATATCTGCCAAAAAATCGAAACATCATTTGTTTGTGGCATATACCTAGACAGCTTGTTAAAGAGCACAGCAATTGCAAGAATAATTATTTTTTCATAATCGGCTTTCTGTTTCCTTAATTGTTGCGACATTGGATATTATGTTTCACATCAGGCGCAATTTTTTCATTTCAATAATTACTTGTCACAATTTACAATTTGTCAGTTTTTGACATACCTATGGGAATCATTATCAATCAAATCGGTGGCGTTGTGTGACGGGTTGTTTGATTCCCTCAAATATGGTTGAGTAAAACCTGTGAACAGGCGCTTCCGGAAACTGGATTGCGAGCAGTGGCGTAACCATAGGGTGGCAGGGCTGGCATAATGCCACGAGCCCCGACCCAAGAGGGCCCCTGCCCAAGAGATATTATGTTCTATGGATGAATGTGAAGTCTCCAATACGCATTGGGCTAGCGTGGGGAGTTATTATTAATTTTTAGTTTTAATATTTTTAGATTACTTATGTTCTTAAATGTAATTGATGTGTGTGTGTTAAATTTGTGATGTCATATTTTCTTGTATTTTTTAGGCATACACATTGTTTTAGGACATATAAATAAATAGTCCTTTTGTATTATGATTT